GGGGACCCCAGGGGAGCTGGCCACATTTCTGTCCTTGGTTTTCCTTAGTAGAACTTGAGATTATCAGAGTGGGCAGGGTCCATATCCTCACGCTGGGCATCAAGCATCTTCCACAAGACAGGGATACTAAGAAAGTCCTTGCCACCACCAGCACCGCCACCAGGCTATACCACAGATGGGGAAACTGAGGCTTGAACGGTGACATCCGGCTTCCAACCATCACCGCCTAATCAGTGTCAAGACTGTAACTCAAATTCAGGTCTTTCCACCTCCTCACCTTCCCACTGTCCAAAACAGCAAGTCATCCAAAAATCATGTTTGCTTGAGGAATACATTATTTAATGTGTTTGCAGAGGCGTACCCTTCTAATGATGCATTATTTAAGCTGATATTAAATTTATAGCAGGTTGTTTTGTCTGCCCAAGCACTGATCTCTGTATAGCTTTGAGACTTACTGGGTGGGAACTGGGGAGGGCAGCCTCTTAAACCCCAGGGAGCTGACCCAGACCGGAAATGGATGGCATCCAAGCCAGTCTTTCCCTCCAGGTAGGCGAACAGCTGAACTCTCCCAGGCAGGCGTTTCTCCTGTCAGCGTTGCCAGGCGTGGGAAATCTCACGGCTCCCCTTGCAAACCTCCGTTAGGCTGCCCATCCTCCACGCAGAGCGGGCCGAGGGTTCTTCTGGCCGTCTGACTGCAGTCTCTCCTGCTGTGTTACAGTTCCTCTTCCTGGAGGGGATCCAGCCCCGTGTAATTTCCTCCTGCCAGTTGCCCCCGTCCTGGCCCCTGGGGCTGAGTTCGAGTCACCAGTTATAGGCCCAGCCGGGCCATTTCCACGACAGCGTTTCCTTTTCTCCGGGTGTTTTACGAGCCTCCCTGTGACAGGCGTGGGCTTGGTGAGATGAAAACATAGTGGGGGGAAAATTCCACAGGGAGAACGGCTTCCCAAAGCCTGCCCTCTGCAAAAATAAAAACCGTGCTAAAGAGCCGACTTTCATTAACTGGGGAAGCCAGGCTGAGGAAAATGCCCGATAATTAAAAATAATGGCTTCCTTGCAAACACAAAATTGTATTAATTTAAAAATTGGTTTCTCTATCACTGAATTCCTACCGAGCCGGCTGGGAAGGGAATTGTGCTGATCCTGGCAGTGAAAATAATTCAAAATAACTTTTATGTTCTCCAGGAAGCCTCAAGGTTAATTTAAATATTGCTAGACTGGTAATTTAATTCAAAATAAGAGAACAGTGTGGCTAAATTAAAGCTCCTGCACACTCTCAACCGGGAATGGGGGGTGGGGGTGGGGGAGCCAGGTAGCCACCAGGGGCTGAGCAAGCCTACTGGCGTCCCCACCGTCTCGCACCCCATCGCTCAGGCCTCTCCTCCTCGTGGAAGACACCCTCTTAATTAAGGATGCGCGATTCCATTACACGAGTGACCTGAACTCCGTGGCTCAGCTTCCAGTGCATTTATTTTATTTAATTATTAGAAGGACGGGGCATTTTCAGAGAAACTGCACCTTTCAAAAGTTAATTTGAACTCGTGCTGTCACGGAGTCTGCTTCCCAGGGACATGGTGAGTTGGGGAGTAGAACTCTCCCTAAATTGGTCCCCACTAATGGTGAGCATGGGTCCTTAGCTGTTGTTTATGGTGGGTGCTGTTGGTATGCGAGGGCTTGTCAGCGCCCAGTTCCAGCAGCAAGCTGACCGGCGCAGGTTGCCAGCCTCTCCTCCCTGCTCGCCCGCGAGGTCATTCTTCATGAAGTCTCAGCCTCTCCCACACCGGGAGAGTTGTAATGACAGTCATGATTATTTAGATGACCCACATCCCACTCCCTGCCGGGATCACACCGTGTACTCCATAGGCACACAGATATTTGGGTAGGAGGGTACTTCAAAAAGTCCTTGGGAAGTGGAATTAAAAGATTCGTTTGGTGCAAAGCAAATTCAAAATCTGTGTCTCCAAGAAGACTTCAGAAAGTTTGTAGAGATTGTGTATGGCAAAGACAGCTTCATGAACCTCAAGTTCTTTGCCCCAAAATAAGCTCATGTTTTCATTCCGTTTTTCACAGGCCCCTTGCATGCACACACATATGATTGATTATATTAGACCACATACGCCGTGTTGGTTTCTCCCACGTAACTAAATATCAGGCCTTGTATCACCCTGAATTCATTTTAACCAAGTGGACGCGTCAGGATCACCCAGGAGCTTTTGAACGTCACCACGTTCCCAGCCTCTGTTCCCCGGAGCTTGGGGGGCGAGGGGGCTGCTTCCACAGGTGCCGAGTTGACCCAGCAGCAGTGTGTTGCTAGAGCAACCCTGGTGGTTCAGAATTGCAAGCTGGCTGGAGAAGCCCTGGGCCGACAGCCCCCTGGTTCCAAAGGCACCCAGCCTGGGCACGAAGCTGGCGAGCGCTGGCCGGGGACTCCAGCTCCAGCTCTTACTGGCCTGTCAGAGCCTTGTGTGTACAATAGGGATGGGAATGGTGCCCACCCAGGAGAGTGAAGCAAGGGCAGCACTGAGAGTAGCAGGGAGTCGTTGAGGGTGCGCTGGCCGCGCTGGTGCTGCCGCTGCTGCCCACCCCCGCTGGCCGGTGCAGGCTCCAAGCCTGGCACTGGCTGAGCTGTAATGGTCAGGACCTGATCAGTGCACCAGGAACCCTAGGATGCAATCAAAGAGAAGCAGGAAGGGAGAAGACAGGGACAAGGAAGCAAGATGGGAGACGGATGGCCAGGAGCGTGAGAAACAAGTGAGCTGGTGGGGGCTCACCAGCAGGTGCTCTCCTGAGAGAGAGACAGATAGACAGACAGAGATGTTATCTTCCATCCAGTGGTTCACTCCCCATATGGCTGTAGCAGCCAGGGCTGAGCCAGGCCAAAGCCAGGAGTCAGGAGCTTTTCCCAGGTCTCCCACGACAGTACAGGAGCCTAAGCCCTTGACCCACCTTCTGCTGCCTTCCCAGATGCATTAGCAGGGAGCTGGATTGGAAGCAGAGCAGCCGGGACTCGAACTGGTGCCCATGTGGGACACCGGCACTGCAGGCAGAGGCTTAACCTGCTGCGCCACAGCGCTGGCCCCAAGCTGAAACCCTTTGACATGTGGGTCTAAGACTCCTGGTGGCTTCTGCAGCTTCCCAAGTGAAGCACCCGTGACAGCCAAGCAGCTGTGTCCAGCGGGAGGGATCTGTGCATCCAGTGTGTGCTGTGCGCTTCGGAACACGCGCCTCCAAGACACAGCATTCACATTGAGGTCTGTTGAAAACCCCCTCCCTCATCCTTGGTCATCTGCACTGTTCCTCCCGGGGGCTGTGGTTTGGTGGCAGGGTCTTCGCTGGCCGCTGAGCCTCCTGCTGTCCCTAGAACTCCCCACCTGTGTTCCTGCCTCCCTGCTCTGCTGCCTTCGCTGTTCTAGATGCTTCTTCACAGATGGCCCGTCCTTGTGTCTGGTGACTCGTTGGGAACTGCAGTCTTCTGGGGAGTCCTGGTCCCGGTCCTGGGTTCAAACCCCCCCACCCCGCCACTTGTCTGGCTCTAGGGGACCCCTCTGGAACACGTCCTACTTGTGTTGTGAGAATTAAAATAAGATCAACTATGTAAATACCTAGCATAGCACCTGTCAATGCATTAGGGGCTTCTATCAGTTTAGAATAGTTTCTAGTAGCAGGACCTTAAACAAAAGATAGGCTTATTGTTTTCTTAGGACCCAAAGCGAGCCTAGAGGTAAGCAGTCTGACTGACCATGGGAGATGCCCAGATCAATAGGGATTTAGACTCTTTTTCTTTGTGTAAGTATAAGCCAATCCTGGAGATTTCCATCCTCAAAGCTTGCCTCATATTCACAGGGTAAATGCTGGAGCTCCAGCCATCACAGTCACATTTCCCTTGCGGAAATGAGGAAAATAGGAAGAGTAAAAAGTTACCCACCTATCATCTGGCTCAGCTGCTGTTAAGAATACTTGCCAGTAGTCTCAGCGACCAACTATCACTTACATACAAGTGCCGCTGCAGCATTAGGGCAAGGGGAGGAGGAGTCAGACGGCTCTGGCGTCTTCCTCCTGCCTGTTGACCATCTTCCCTGCTCGGCAGCCACCCCGGGGACCGGTGGATTTGCAGTCGATGATGCTGGAAGAGTCGGGCGAGTCTGCCTCATTCCACTCACTCCCAGCCGTGCGCTCAGGGCGGCCGGGCCTCGGGAGCCCCCTCCCCAGAGTCTGGTGTCCCAGCTCAGCGTCCTGGGGCACACGGTCTCCTCGGATCAGACCGCATATGACATTACGTCTGGGTGTGGCCCACGACGCCTTTCAGGCTCCCCTTGCTTGGGGTCCCCTTGGCCCTCCCGCTGAGGTCTCCCCTCCACGTCTTGCTTCCTTGACCGCGGCGAGACTGGTCTCAAATACAAAAGCAAAGGAGGCTTGGGAACGAGCCTTCACACCAGCAGGCCTTTGTGACATGCAGATCTAGGTGCCTCCCCACTCTCAGAGGCCTTGGTGTGGGATTTCCCAAGAAACCCCAGCACCTGCTCGTCAGGATCATTCGCTTCCCAGCTGACGGGGTGCCCAGAGACGGTTCTGGGGTGCAGATACACAAATTACCTTGCTCTCAGCATAGCCAGGCAGGGAAGTCAAAACCCCAGGGCCCAAGGCCGTCTGTGGCAACATCAGCGTCCACACAGTTGTCAGCATCTTCACTTTCAGCAACACGATGGCACTCCTGGTAACTGTGCAGTGCGCAGCCTCAGTGACTGTTCACTGCGGACATGCCTAGGTCAACATCTGCAACCATCGGAAGCCTCATTTCTGTATTCCAGTGCCCTAAGCGTATAGGACCTCTTCTGTGTGTGCTACAAGGATAGCGGGTTTAGTAAGCACTCCTGTAAAAGTCAGGGTGATTTCTTCCTCCAACGAGCACTTAGTCCCTGCTCACCCCAGCCGAGGGCTCCACAGGAGCCCGAGCTGGCACACCTGGCTAGGAGTCTTAAACCAGGCCCGTTGTGTTCCCCCAGGTCCATGGAAGAAACCTCTTGTCCATCGACTATGACCGGAATATTCGGACAGAAAAGATCTACGACGACCACCGGAAGTTCACCCTGAGGATCATCTACGACCAGGTGGGCCGCCCCTTCCTCTGGCTGCCCAGCAGCGGGCTGGCGGCTGTCAACGTCTCCTACTTCTTCAACGGGCGCCTGGCTGGCCTGCAGCGGGGAGCCATGAGCGAGAGGACCGACATCGACAAGCAGGGCCGCATCGTGTCCCGCATGTTTGCCGACGGCAAAGTGTGGAGCTACTCCTATCTGGACAAGGTGGGTGCGGGAGCGGCCGCGCCCTGCCGGCGCCCCGAATGCTGCGGGGGTGGGAGCGCGCTAGACAGCCACTAATGACAGAAGCGACGGATTGTCTGATTTTATTCCAAAGAAATAAGTGCCGTGGAAGCGGACAGAATCATCCCGCCGGCCACACGGCTAATCGTTACTTAGGAATTGGAAATGCAGTGATTCATTTCTGTCCTGCCCTAAATTAAGCCGTCAGGGTGGGGAATTGTGCCGAAGACTCAACGCGCTGAGCGGTCTCCTCCTGCTTGGCCTCTTGGCTGAAGCGGCCGGCAGACCCTGCGTGTCAGTCCACGGGTCTGCAAGGGCCCACGCGGGACCCCCACTGGGACAAAGGTCAGCCTGGAGTGGCAGTAAAGAGAGGTCCCTTCAGGGCACATGGCAACGCTTCCGTAGGCTGTCCTGGTCCCTTAATCAGCAGAGAGGGGCTCGCCCATTCTGAGCCTCTCACCTGGCCTCCCTGGTGCAGGTCCATTTCTGCCTTCTGGCCAGATCCTCAGGGTACTAACCTACAGCCAGAGCCACCCCCTTACCCGCCCGTGCCCTGCCCTGCCTGAGCGCTCTCGCATCAGCCATCGACCACTGCGCTAGTCGATGGGGAGGAGGGAGCGAATTTCCCAGTTGCCTCTAGTGGCGGCCATTGTTTTCCTGAAGAATCAGAGATTCTAGGTGATTTCATCTCTCATCCACTGAGTCAGAATGGAACTTTTGACAGGAGCCCTGGATATTTCGGTACACTGCTGGCAGTCACCAGGAGGCGGGAGGCTTGGTGCGCCCAGTGGGCTCAGTCTATTTAGCCTCTGGTCTAAGCATTCCCTCCTTCACGGTCACCAGCCGACCCTTGGGGGAGTGGAATAAATTCTGTGTATGTGGTTGCTTGGTCCTGCAGAGCTCACTCACGTGTTCTCTCTCCCTTCCCCCTCCAGTCCATGGTCCTCCTGCTCCAGAGCCAGCGTCAGTATGTGTTTGAGTATGACTCCTCTGAACGTCTCCATGCTGTCACCATGCCCAGTGTCGCCCGGCACAGCATGTCCACACACACCTCCATCGGCTACATCCGCAACATCTATAACCCTCCCGAAAGCAATGCATCCGTCATCTTCGACTACAGTGACGACGGCCGCATCCTGAAGACATCCTTCCTGGGCACCGGGCGCCAGGTGTTCTACAAGTATGGGAAGCTCTCCAAGTTATCGGAGATTGTCTACGACAGTACCGCTGTCACCTTCGGGTATGACGAGACCACCGGTGTTTTGAAGATGGTCAACCTCCAGAGCGGGGGCTTCTCCTGCACCATCAGGTACCGGAAGATCGGGCCCCTCGTGGACAAGCAGATCTACAGGTTCTCTGAGGAAGGCATGGTCAATGCCAGGTTTGACTACACATATCATGACAACAGCTTCCGGATTGCAAGCATCAAGCCCGTGATAAGTGAAACGCCCCTTCCCGTTGACCTCTACCGCTATGATGAGATTTCTGGCAAGGTGGAACACTTCGGCAAGTTTGGAGTCATCTATTATGACATCAACCAGATCATCACCACCGCCGTGATGACCCTCAGCAAGCACTTTGACACCCACGGGCGCATCAAGGAAGTCCAGTATGAGATGTTCCGGTCCCTTATGTACTGGATGACCGTGCAGTATGACAGCATGGGCAGAGTGATCAAGAGGGAACTCAAACTGGGACCCTATGCCAACACCACGAAGTATACCTATGACTACGATGGGGATGGGCAGCTCCAGAGCGTGGCTGTGAATGACCGCCCAACCTGGCGCTACAGCTATGACCTCAACGGGAACCTCCACTTGCTGAACCCAGGCAATAGTGTGCGGCTCATGCCCTTACGCTATGACCTCCGGGATCGGATAACCAGACTTGGAGATGTGCAGTACAAAATTGACGACGACGGCTATCTGTGCCAGCGAGGGTCCGACATCTTTGAGTACAATTCCAAGGGCCTCCTAACAAGAGCCTACAACAAGGCCAGTGGGTGGAGTGTCCAGTACCGCTATGATGGTGTGGGACGGCGGGCTTCCTACAAGACCAACCTGGGCCACCACCTGCAGTACTTCTACTCTGACCTCCACAATCCGACTCGCATCACCCACGTCTACAATCACTCCAACTCAGAGATTACCTCACTCTACTACGACCTCCAAGGCCACCTCTTTGCCATGGAGAGCAGCAGTGGAGAGGAGTACTATGTTGCCTCAGATAACACAGGGACGCCCCTGGCTGTGTTCAGCATCAATGGTCTCATGATCAAACAGTTGCAGTACACAGCCTATGGGGAGATTTACTATGACTCCAACCCCGACTTCCAGATGGTCATTGGCTTCCATGGGGGACTGTATGACCCCCTAACCAAGCTAGTCCACTTCACTCAGCGTGATTACGATGTGCTGGCAGGACGATGGACCTCGCCAGACTACACCATGTTGAAAAATGTGGGCAAGGAGCCAGCCCCTTTCAATCTGTACATGTTCAAGAGCAACAACCCGCTAAGCAATGAGCTGGATTTGAAGAACTATGTGACAGGTGAGGACCTTTTTGCCTCGGCTGGGGAGTGGTTTGCTGTGGGGTGGTTGTCCTAGTAGATGGGTGCTTGAAAGGTCTTACATCTGATGGTGGGAGAATCCTGCAGAGTTAGCAACCCAGGGAGTGCAGTTGACAGGAGTCCTGCATCTAGGAAAGTAGAGGGACAGTGGCAGAGAGAAGTCACCAGGTCTGTTTGAAGATGTCATGACCACTTTCAAGTTTCAGTTGAAACAACTTAAAAAAGCCCTTGCTACCCCCGATAGAGGAAAGCAGCCTAAGAAGGGGGCAGGGAGTGGGGGGGGGGGGAATGGGACTCTGGCGTCAAAAATATCTGGTGCAAATTCTCTGTCTTCTGTCTAAGTCACAGAGCTTTGAGCTAGCGACCGGTCTGTGAACTGTGCTTTGCATCTCTGTGAAAGGGCACTGGTACCACCATCCCATAGAGTGAGCACGAGGAGCTCGTGTGAAGTCCAACGCTGGCCCTTAGAGTGGGTGTCCATGAAGTGGCCTCTTCTTGTGCTCTGACATCGTCATTGCTGGTAAAGCAGTGGAGTTAGTATCCGCACTCAGGCGACTGAGCTCAGCTCCTTTTCCCTGGAGGCTGTCCTGCTGAGACACGTAGCCAACGGGTGACAGTGACACAGAGCAGGATGAGTGAGTCCCTGCTACCCTAGTAGAGGACTGCAGAACATTTGTGAGAAATGCAGTTAAAAGATAAGCTTATTGTAGTGTCAAAAAATTGAAATACACACATAGTGGTGGTTTTTTTTTTTTTTTGCAACAGATATTTTTCTTGAGCATTTTGAGGACCTCTCATGTAGGTATCCAGGTGTTTATTTGAAAAGCATTTGACATCATGATACCATGCTAGAATTTGGGGATACAAGGGTAAATATGATGAACACCCTTCTCAAAGAGTGTGTGTGTGTGTGTGTGTGTGTAGATGAATTCTAATTTGGAAGAGTTGCCATAAGGTAAAAGAACCTTGGGCCTGAGGAAGAAATGGGGTCTCAGTTGGTAAAGTGGGCTTAAGGCTGAAAGCAGATTAGGAGTAAAAGCCAGAAGAACATACAACGCTTACAGAGGGGTATGGGAAGGAAAGTAGATGATCTCCTTCCCTATGGTAATGAGAAACTTGTGAAATAAGGGACCATGTCCCCCCATGTGTCCATCTATCCATCCATCTACTTATTCACTCATTCACCATGTATTTGTAGAATATCTGGCTTGTACTAAGTACTAGCAAGGCAGGGGAGAGCAAGATCAAGTCCCCGTTCTCAGGGAAACTTACAAGGAAATCAGGATGGATGGATGGATTCATGGATGGATGGATGGATGGAGATACAAGTGATAGATATTCCCAAAGAGCTTGGGCCCCAAATCAGGTTGCTAGCTATCAACCAGGCTGGGACCACATGATGAAGAAGAAACAATGAGGATCCCAGGACTTCAAGCCACCAAGTTCAGGAAGCTCACAGCTTTTTGGGCAGGATCTTGGAACCATCAACACTCAGATGACCAAGGTCACTCTCTGTTCACCAAGACAGCATGAAAGTAGCGTGGAGCACAGTGCTGCCCTCAGTACCCCACACTGCAGAAAGAGACCGCCTTAGAGATCAATGTGCGGCTATGCAGTACTTCACTGACAAGCTCCTGACCCCATGAAGTTGAACCCAGCATCTCCATACAACAGTGCCTTGCAAGCATAGAGCTGTGGCCAACCTAGTCCCTCTCACCTTCATCCAGGTGCCTTGCCATGGTATCCTGCCAGTCTTTCCCATGGCCTAGCATCACACACACACACACACACACAGCACATCAGATAATAAGTGCTTTAAAGATCAATAAAGTAGAATAAGGAATTGGCAGACTGATGGGAAGTGTCCCCTTCATTTAGAACATTCACAGAAGGCCTTTCTGAGCTGGTGACTTTTGGACAGAGGTCTTCATGAATTGGAGAAGGGAGAGGAAGAAGATTCCAGAGAGAGGACTTGGTGTGAGTAGTGAGGCAGACCAAGCCTAGCTCAGCCATGAGAGAGAATCCTGCCCCAGCCAGAAGCTGCTGTCCTAGACCTGTGCTTGGCCCTGGATCACTAGGGACAAATGCACCAAAGAGAAAACCCCCAGAGTGGGCTAAACAGATGCCTACTGCGGCCAAGGCCCAAACAAAATCACTCCCAAGGCGCAGTCAACCTCCCTGACCCCCTCGGTCACTTTCCTGCTTCCCCAGAAGAGGCAAAAGCAAATGAGCAGGGTTTTCTGGCTGGCAGGAGGGCTTTCCTCATACCAGTGCTTCACGGAGACGCCGTAAATGGGAACCCAATCAAGTTGAACCAAGTCCAACCAAAGTGAATCCAGAAACCATTAGAAAGAGTCTGACATGAAGGGTGGTGGCAGAGAGGCAGCGTACAGAAGGCTGAAGTGTGTAGTCGCAACTGAGAGAAGAGGGCCCCGGTGGAAAAGGGAGCCCGTCCAGGCACGACCCGCACCTGCTGCCACCTGTTGTCGATGCGTTGACCCTTACCGAGAGGACCCGAGCAGAGAACACCACATCGTTCTCTGCTGCTCCAGTGTTGGCTCATCTGTGTGCCCCAGTCTAAATTAGTCTTAATTTGCCACTTAGGAGACTGGCAGAGTGGTTGAACTTCCTGCTCACAATTTAAGCAGAAGAGGTAATTAAGATGTAGTCAGGAGGAACACAAAGCACAGGACTTCCTCTCTCCAGTAACCACTAGAAGCGCTGCTGTCGGGAAACAGAGCTCTCCCAGTGCAAGTGGCAGCTCCTGGAGCTGGAAGATGTTTTGTCACTGCCCCCCAGAGTCTGCTGCACAGGATGCTGGCTGTGTGTATACTCTCAGACTCCTGCTGCAACACAAGTGGCGATGCCAGCAGCAGGTGTAGGGTGTTAAAAGCGGTCCCTTTCCTGAAGCAGGGCTCTCTGAACACACACTGTTTACAGAAACATATTTGACAACTGGTACACCTGTGAGGAAATCTATTGGAAGACAAGTGTAGAGGAGAGGCATGGAGACAGGCGTCCCTACCACAATCCTCCGTGCCCTAGACTTTTCCACGTGAGCATCCCAGGAAACTGCTCAGTCCTGGGCACCCCGGCCCCCTGCCCCGCCCCTGAGCTCTGTGGCCAGGGCATTCCATCTGCTGTCGGGCCCTGAGCACGTGTCGGAACAGCAATCCCCTGCTGAGTGACTTGAACAAATGTCTTTACCTTTCTGAGCCTGTGTTTGTTCCTCTGCAAAATTGTGAGGGCAGTAGGGTCGTCTGAACATGACAAGTTCCAACATGGAGTGAAGCAGCGTATTCTTTATTTAACAAAAAGGAGCAGCTATGTCTTGGAGATGGTTTGTTCGTGAGGCGTGCAAGCACCACCCATTTTCTGGGAAATGTGAGGAAGGGTCTCCAGACCACCTTGAAATGGGTTCAGACTCCACTCTGAGTGGCACTGCAGCAGCAAACAAGAAACTCCAGATGAAATTTGGGTTCAGAGAACCTTCTAGAAGTAGTCCATGATGAATCGTGTTGTTCCCCCAACCCTCTCTCCCTGAGGGGGTCTCTGGGCTTACAAAGCCCTGGCACACTTGAGCTGAAAGTCGGATTTTGCTGGGCCTCGTTTCTCCAAGTGAGGAGGCAGGCTCAAGCTCCTTCTCACGCGCCCCTCAGCTCGCGTTTACACTTCACACTCACAGAGCTCTCGGCTTGGCTCGGAGGCAGCGCACGCGCGGCAGCGGCGCCTCACGCTGAGAGGAGCGGGCGGAAAAGGGAGTGATGAGCCATTAGGAGGGACCACATCGCCAGCTCCTGCCTCTCAACAGATTGTTTAGGGAGCCTGGCGCAAGATAACACCAATTACTTCACGGGGAGGAGGGGGGTTTATGTTGATCCAGGAGCGCCTTCTGAAGAGTGGAGGAGGCGGGGAGTCCCTCAAAGGAGCCTGGTTTCAGCATAGCTTAGCCTCAGAAACAGAGCCAGGCTAGCAGTTTTAAAGAGAAGGCTTTCAGATGGAGAGAAAGAGGAGGAGGAGGACGACATAGGCTGTTACCGCTCGCAAGGGTGGCCGCTAACCTTCCCAGTCTGAAAGGCTGACGATTGTTTATTTTTGGACATTTCTCAAGAGGACACACTGCAATCTCTGGGTCCATGCACACAGCAGAAGCCGATTCCATCATCAGACGATCCGCGTCTCCACCTTCCCTCGCCTCCTCCACGTTTGGAGCCGCCAGCCCCTCTGCTCCAATTCTTCGTTGAGCATCGACTGCAGTATCGTGATCCGCTGTCGCCGTACTCTGCTGTGGATCATTAGAACCCTCTGCTTCTAATTGTGTTTTGTTGCCCGTTATCCATCCTCCCTCTGTCCACCCCACCCCCGCGCTCCACTTCTCCTGGCCTCCAGTAATCAGTATTCCAAATTCAGGTCGACTTGTTCTTTTTTTAGCCTCCACGTTAGGCAACAAAAGCAAAACTAGAAATAATGGGATTCTGTCGAACCAAGAAGCTTTTGGCACTGCAAAGGAAACAAGTAATACAGTGAAAAGACACCCAAAGGAACAGGGGAAAGTATCTGCAGATGGTTCATCTGACCAAGAATTAATACGCAGAATATAAGGAACTCAAAGAACTCAGTGATAAGACTTAACCAAAAAAAAACCCAAACAACCCAGTAAAGAAATTGGCAAAGAATCTGAACAGATATTTCTCAAAAGGAGAACTACACGTGGCCAACAAACATGGGAAGAGAGGCTCACTCTCACCAGCTGCAGGAAGTTCTTGACTTCGCGTCTGCTGTGCCCTCCTCTGGAAGGGGTTCCTACTAGGGAGAACCAGGGAGGAGGAGGAGAAGATCCCAGTGGGGAGACTCCTCTGAAGACAAGAGCTTCCCACACAATCTGCCCATCCTCCGTGGGAGATGGGATGATGTTGTACGGTCTGGAGATCAAGCACTAAATAACACTGAAAGACAGATAGGGAAGTCGCTTCTCAACACG